ATGAAGCACGTCTTGAAGATGGGACTGTAGTAGCAAGATCTGATGGAGTGGAGTTCACAGTCAAAGATGGTCTGTGCCAACAAATTTTGTTACCCTCTTCATAATGAATTTTGCTTTTGTGATCTTACAATAATTTTTACACTATTACAGGTTATTTTTGTCCTGCTTTGTCTAAGGCTGTTAAAACTATGAAGAAAGGAGAGAAAGTGATTCTGACTGTGAAGCCACAATGTAAGTTGTCTACTGAATTTTTTACCTATCGGAATATCTTTGCTTTTTATTTTTTACTGAAAGGGAGGTGAATAGTACTTAATATTCATTCATTTACTTAGTTCAAAAATTTTATGCGTTTTTTTATTTGTTTGTAGATGGATTTGGTGAGAAAGGTAAGCCAGCACAAGGTGACGAAGGTGCAGTTCCACCAAATGCATCATTAGAGATTACTCTTGAGTTAGTTTCTTGGAAGACTGTGTCAGAAGTAACTAATGACAAGAAGGTTATTAAGAAGATCCTCAAAGAAGGGGAAGGATTTGAGCGTCCAAATGAGGGGGCAATTGTGAAATGTAAACGCTTGTTAATGTGTTACCATTTCATAGTTTATGGATTTGAAAACATGGTTTCTGATGTTTTCTTACCTCTTTTTGCTTTCTTGTAGTGAAAGTAATTGGTAAGCTGCAAGATGGTACATTGTTTTTGAAGAAGGGTCATGATGATGAAGGGCAGCTGTTTGAATTCAAAACTGATGAGGGTAACTTGAAATATCTCACTGTTTCTCCCCATTTCCCACAAATCTTTTATTATGCTAACTGTTGTGATTGTTTTATGGATTGAGCAGAGCAAGTAATTGATGGGCTTGACAGAGCTGTGTTGACTATGAAGAAGGGTGAGGTGTCATTGTTAACTATTGCGCCTGAATATGCTTTTGGCTCATCCGAGTCTAAGCAGGAACTTGCAGTGGTTCCTCCCAACTCCACTTTGTATTATGAGGTTGAGCTAGTATCATTTGAGAAGGTAAGTTAATAAACGAGTAATGATTTGCAATTCTGCATTGATTTTGTATGTTTCAATTTTATTGAATGAAATTGTTTGAAACGAATGCTATATTTGCTTGTAATTAAATAAAATTCACAAGGTTAAGGGATTGATAAAGAAACAAAAACTTTGTAGCTCTGCTCTCTTGGCTTGCAAGTTCCTATACATTAATTAATTGCATTCTGTTGCTTGTATTTAACTGAATTATCATGACCATTTTGAGCTTCAGAAGTTTGTTGAAGTTCACCACTCTAAATAATTAAATAATTAATTTTGTTCTCTCCTTTCAGGAGAAGGAGTCATGGGACATGAGCACACCAGAGAAGATTGAAGCTGCTGGTAAGAAGAAAGAAGAAGGAAATGCATTATTTAAAGCTGGTAAATATACAAGAGCTTCTAAAAGATATGAAAAGGTAATTGAAGATAAATTAAATATTTATTCACCATTAGTTCTCTTCTAATTCAATGATGTTTTTTCTTACCAAAACGTTGTACAGGCTGTAAAGTTCATAGAGTATGATACCTCCTTCAGTGAAGAAGAGAAGAAGAGCAGCAAGGCCTTGAAAGTTGCCTGTAATCTGAACGATGCAGCATGCAAGTTGAAGCTAAAAGATTACAAACAAGCAGAGAAATTGTGCACAAAGGTGTGACTGCAGTTGCAGTATCCCATCTGATAGTTATTATAAAATTGCTTTATGTGTTTACAGAAGTGAAAAGTGATTTTTGTTGTGGACACACAGGTACTGGAACTTGAGAGCACTAACGTGAAGGCTCTCTATAGAAGGGCCCAGGCATATATTCAGTTGGCTGATTTAGACTTGGCTGAATTTGATATTAAGAAAGCTCTTGAGATTGACCCTGACAACAGGTAGATAATTTAATTGAAATACGTGATTGAATTTGTAATAATTGCCATAAATTACTTGACAATCATATATATTAGAGTAATATATGAATAGATGATAGTGTAGGAATCTTTATCTATACTTTAACTGTATTACTATTGTTGGGTATGATAGAAGGGTAGTTTCTGAATCGGTTTTAAACTTCATCATCTACTTGATGTAGGATGATTTATCATTTTTATGTTCTGTGATTTTCTTGTTGTAAAGCCACCGATATATTCGTTTTTGATATATTAAACAGGGAAGTCAAGCTTGAGTACAAGACCTTGAAGCAAAAGATGAAGGAATATAACAAAAAAGAGGCGCAGTTTTATGGAAATATTTTCAACAAACTGCATAAGCTAGATTCGCATGACAATAACGTGAGTATTCCCCCTCCCTCGTTTTCCATTTCTGGTCTACACATTCTAATATAGTTGTTTCATACTTCAAACCAATCCAAAATAGTCAATTTTCATCTCAATAACATGAGTAAGCAAAGAAGTTACAAGTGTTTTTGCTTATTATTCAGTTTTAATGGGCAAAATATTGTTAAAAATGCAAAAACAAAAGTTCTATTTATGTAGAGAAAAGTTACGGGTAGTAATTTGTTGAATAAAATGCTTCATTTACATTATTAAGAATAGTGGCATTCTCGTGGTTACATTTGCAGTGCTGTGCATACGTTTTGGTAAATTAGTATTCTAAATGTTTAGAATTTAGCATAGATTACTAAGGAGGTAAAAATTTCATTCTATAAATTAACTTCGTTGTATTTTATGAACCTAATTTCTCATCTAAGTAGAATGCCATTACTTTGTGCTTTATTTCCTTATACCAACCATACCTAATTAGCTTTTTGCCTTTTCTGAAAAATGGATATTTAACTATTCTATAGATGTTTTTGTTGCCCAAGTTAACATTTTGACTATTGCTGTTTGCATATAATTATCCAATGAAATGTATCAATAATTTTGTGGCTAGTACAGAATTATATTATATATTCATCTGTTACTAAGTCACTTGTTTGAAGTGCTAGATTCTTTTGTTTGTACAACGTATTTTCTAATGTATCGTGTTTGTTTAATGTTTAAATTGCAGAAAGCAGCGTCTACGGATGCCCAACCCATGAATATCGACAGCAAAGCATAAACACCATAGAAATTCATCTAATTTCTGGGGTCTGCTTTCTTATTATTATCTGTGGACATTTGGAAATATGATGGATTATGAAATTTGATCGGGGACAAATTTTGTTTTCATTATTTCTAGCAAAATGGAATTCTAGACAAAACTTAATATTCCTGATTTATTTCTTCTGGCTCCTATTTATGTTTTTCTTGATATTTGGACATGAACGTTAAAGGAAATGAATGATGATAATTCAGAAGAAATAAGAGAAGAAAGAACTTGTTGAATTTGTGGAAAAAGACTGGTTTTGAAGTGTTTTTTTTTTGTGTGATGTCAAAAATATTTTCAATATTTTTTAAAACTGTGAAAGCATTCTATCCAAGTAGTATGTGGAGAAACATATTCTGATAAAAGAAATCGCAGTTTCACATACTTCAATTCTTAATTAAAATAAAGAAAGGAAAGTTCCGAAAATAAAATGCACTTCCATACAAAAGGACCATGTCAACTTACTGGATAAAAAATTGAAGTTAAAATTTCAGTATCGACTGTTCAAATGAAACTAAAAAGAAGGAAGTTTAAATTTCTCATTAAAGTTATGCTCATCTAAAAGTGGGTTTTAATCTAAACAAAAATTCTGAAAAGTGAGAAATATTTTACGCATGTTGAAAAAACAAATATATAATAATTCTAAATTAAACACTTGATTCATTTACACTAATATTCTTATTATAAATGCAGTAGTATATTGTTAATACTATAACTCTAAATATATAAGATCATTACTTTTATGACTAGATGTAATCTGATAAATTTTATTACGCTTATCTTTAAGTATTATAGTATCATTGTTTTTTTTTTTTTTTTGAAGTGTTTGATTATAGAGAAATTTAGAAATACATGACCAAATCATACTATAAAAAATCTTTACAATTTATTTTTTAATTAAAATAACACTTACCTAAACCGATACGGAGGTTATGATTTATGAAAATATGTTCAAATTGTACAAATTCATTTCAGACTCATCGTCCACCTCTGATAAAAATAAAAATATTCAGGAATATACATGATATATGTGAATACAAGCCAATTCATAAATATTTTAAACGAATATTTAGGGAGATGGAGGATAAGTTTTGTATTTATAGAGTGGTAGTGGGTCAGTATTATTATTCGTGTCCGTTTTTATTTTTAATTTTATGTTTTTCATATTTCTTTCGTTCGATTTTTTTTTCATTAATTTGTTTTATTGTTTAAATCTCAAATCTTGTATATTTTTTTACTATTAATTAATTAATTAATATATAATTTAAATTGAACATTTAAATATTAACTATAGTTAGACCACGACTAACTTCAATCTAATTTGGGATAAAGTAAATTTTTTGTCCCTGCTCATAATTTGATTTTCATTTCTTATCCTTATTATTTTTCACTGTTTTTAATTTTTTAAATTATTTAATTTTACTCTAATTGTAAATTTTCGTATATTTAATTACTTTTTTGTTATGTTTTAATTCAACCCAGATCTAACACATTCATTCAGTAGAACTTAAAGAAACAATTTATTAATTAAAACATAAAAATAAAAAAATAAACTGATGAAAAATTAAAAATTAGAGCAAAGTTAAAAATTTAATAAAATCTGAAGACTAAAATTAAATAAAAATTAAGAAGAAGATCAAAATATAATAATATAATCGAAGTTAATCGGATCGAAATTTTAATTTATTCTTCATTTTTTTTACCTATTTCTTAGTTTGGTTTTGAAATTATCTGAAGTTGGGCCCCATTTTGGGCCGTTACGGGCCGGGTAAATGTTGGCGGATCAACAAAAAAGAAATAGGGTTTCGTGAAATATATAAGGCGTAACATTAGGGTTTTTCCAGAGAGCAAAGAAGCGAGAGATACCATACAGAGTGTGTTGTTGCTTCTTTGCCACAACTCAACATGGGTGAGTAACCATCCTTCTTATCTCTCTTTTGTTGTTAGTGCAAACGCAAACCCTAATACCACGTTTTCTAATGGGATTTGTTCGTCCTCTGAATCAGGTATCTCCAGAGATTCTATGCACAAAAGGCGTGCCACTGGTGGCAAGAAGAAGGCCTGGAGGAAGAAGAGAAAGTGTGTGCCCCTTTATTATATTTATTTTTTTGTTTGTTTGTTTTAATTTTGTTTCATGTTTATTATTTTGTATATTTTAATTTAGTTGTATCGTTGTTCTTTTACATTGACTTGCCTAATGTTGTTGCTGGAAGGGGCAGACATGTTTGTTTTGGGGTTTTCGGTTTTTGTATCGTTAATATGTTTGGGATCATTGCTTGGCTTGGTTTTGGAATTCACGGTTAAGATTAAAATTGAAATGTTGTCTTTTTTTTATCATTAATTTGATTTTTTGTTTTTACTGCGACTTGGGGAATTGAAATGTGATTCTGTGTTTGATGGAACATGTAGTGGATCTAGGTTTAGTTGTTCTTCGTGTTTTAAAATTGTTTGTGGAATGGGAAAGTCATAGTTTTGGTGGTCTTTGAGTAACCTCGAGAGATTTCCCTTTACTCTGCAATTCTCAACTTTTACTTCTCTGTGTTTCTTGAATTTTACGTGTTGTATTTTCAATAGATTGTAGTACAGTATTTTTTGTTTTATATTTGTGTAATGGTATTTTAGGATCTTTTTACTTATAGTTTAGATATCACTATTTTTTTTTTCTATTTTATTTTAATTTAGAATTAGTTATATATATTTTGATAAACATATATACAACTTGTTATAATTATTATACTCTAAATTTTTGGTATTTTATTCTTAGCTTTGACGATATTCTACTCTAATAATTCTTTGTTAAAGGAAGAGATTTTGGTGGTTTTTTATAGGTACGAGCTTGGTCGCCAGCCTGCTAACACTAAGCTGTCGAGCAACAAGACAATCAGGAGGATCCGTGTTAGGGGTGGCAATGTGAAGTGGAGAGCATTGAGATTGGATACTGGAAATTACTCTTGGGGAAGTGAAGCTGTAACTCGCAAGAGTCGTATACTTGATGTGGTATACAATGCCTCAAACAATGAGCTTGTGCGTACTCAGACCCTTGTCAAAAGTGCCATAGTGCAGGTTGATGCTGCTCCATTCAAACAGTGGTATCTTCAGCACTATGGTGTTGACATTGGTAGGAAGAAGAAGACAGCTGCCAAGAAGGACTCTGCAGAGGTGATGCCTTTGTAATTTTCTCTGTGTTGTATTTTTTTATGTTTTACTTAATCCACTGTTTTTGCTTTCATAATATCAATAATTTGTTGGTCCTATTGTTTTATTCCTAGTTCCGAATGACCTCCATATTTCTGGTATTTCTGGTCTTTTATTTACTGAATGCAGTCTCTGAACTGTATGTTCTAACAAGTGATAATCATATTTTAGCTACGCATTTTCTAGGTCTGGAATTGACTTCTCTTGATAGTTTGGAATCTGTGCTTTCACGTTCGTTTAAGTAAAATGCATTTGCTGCAGTGTTTCATCAACTGTATTGAAATCTGATATGTATTACTAGCAGGTTCAAATTGCGGAATGTCTAACACTTATTGTTGTCTGCAATGAGAAATAATTAGACGCAGTTGGTGCTATTTTCTGTTATTCTTAAAAGCACATCTGATAGGCATACATATATTTAACATAAAGTGCATAGAACCTGATGCTTATATCTCTATCCTGGTATGTAAACTGCAGGAGAGTGAAGCTGCTCCAGCAGAAGATGCCAAAAAGAGTAACCATGTGCAACGAAAACTTGAGAAGCGCCAAAAGGATCGCACACTTGATCCTCACATTGAGGAGCAGTTTGGTGGTGGGCGTTTGCTTGCTTGCATTTCCTCTCGACCTGGTCAATGTGGCAGGGCTGATGGGTAATATACTTGAATTTTGATTATGTTTAACATGTTCATAAGGAACCACATTCACAATTGTCTTCTTTTTCCTGGATCATGCAGCTACATTCTGGAAGGTAAAGAGTTGGAATTTTACATGAAGAAACTCCAGAGGAAGAAGGGAAAAGGCGCTGCTTGATTTTAATGTTTCCCAAATTTTTATATATGGCTTTAGTTGTTTTTATTTGTTGCTGGTACTATTCAAAGTGATGTTTTGTGCCACAGGACATTTAGTGCAAACTATCATGTTAGTCCTTTGCAAATTGACACTTAGTTTTGTTTTGAACTGTTTTTGCTACTTATGAGTTACATTTTTTTTTAATGAATGTCTTTTAAATCTTATTATAGTTGGCTAGATAAATGGGCAAGTGTTACATGGGAGATACCTCATTTATTGAAATAACTCGTTTTGTTGTGTTATGCGAAAGTCAAGTATACTTTTTTTAAATCAAACTATTACATGATTTCATTTGTAAATGTTTTGCCTTTGTATTTTACTATATTTTCAATATCCATCTCTTTCTAATAGAATTAAAGAAATAGAAAATGGTTTATCAATTTTGTAAATAATATCTGTTTCGACAGAATTGTTTAGTTAATATCTTTCGTTAAGTGTTAACTGGGTCACTTTCAATTAAAATTATTTTTTTAAAATCATGTTATGATAATAATATTAAGATCAGCTATTGCAACTTGAAAAAATAATTTAATAGGATTAATAATGATATATAAATAAATAAATAGTTTTTAATGTATAATAATATATTATGGTATTAATTATATTTTAATAATTTTTATGATATTAATATATATTTTTTAATTGTTTATAACATAGTGTATTACATTTGAGAAATAAATCTTATATTTCTCAAAATTATATAAACCTTGCCTTTCTTCTAGAAAAATTTAGAAGAAAATCATAAATTAATTTTAAAAAAAATGATGGTATAAATTTTTATTAGATAATGTATTATAATATATTTACCAACTTTTTTTATTTCATTTCTTATGTAAAATCTTTAATATATTATTCATAATTTTATTGTTATAAAATGTAAATATAAATAATTTATTATATACAATATACTACAGATAAAAACGTTGAAGAACATAATCTCGGATTAATCAAAGATAGAGGCCTATAGAATAAAGGAGACTTGATGAACTTTAGAGTTGCTATTAGAGGTGATAATTATAAATCCAATTAAAAATAATATTTTAACATTAATCAGCATTTAGCTATTTTAAACTTGGTATTTTTGTTACAGTCTTAACTTTTAAAAACATTTTATTGAATTAAGGAAGAAAAGTATACATTAAATATATCTTAATTTCTACTTTATATGAGACTCTCAAATGTACCAAAATAAAAAATAAAAAAAATTGTGAATACTTTTCAAACTATAATTTTTCTATAAATTAATTATTTTACACTGAGTACAAAAGCCCCAGAAAAAAAAAATTTGGGGGCAATAGTTAACATGAACTTTAGAGTTGCTATTATCTTGATCTTAATAACCAGACTCATCCATATACCGATAAAATCATTTAGAGGAAACATATCAATATGACATTATCTCAAAAACAAGTTTTAACCATCCCTTGGTTTTGAAGAAAAAAACAATTATCATTTGTATTAAATTAAAATTAAAATTATAGGTTCGAAATCATGGAAAAGTGTTATTGCTATTTGGATTTTAACATAAACTTTATGTCAAGAGAAGGTTTGCAACATTTTATAATTTGGAGATAAAATATGCTAAAAAAAATTGAAAAACAAAGATCATGGGACTGTTTAACTTTTGAGATAGAAATAACAATTAATTTTTGTTAATTAGATGCGTAACAGATAACAATTTTTTACTCTTTTTTTTTCTACTTGATCCTTGATGTTATATTATACATAATATTTAAAACGTATGAATGAATGATTTAAATAAACTTATAACCAAATATTATTCATAAGAATTAATTTATTCAGATAGAAAAATTATCTATTTGTGCTCTTATTTTTGTGATAGCAAGATTAGGTTGAGTAAAAATAAAGAAAAACAAGTTTGTAGTTATTTTAACTTTATATTTATACCATTATATAGAGAGATTTTAAAAAAAATTATTACTTATAAAAAATAATATTATCTTTTATTAAATAAAATATAATTAATTTTATTATATTACTAATAAAGAGATAATATAAAAAATAGTTATTATGATATTATATATTGAAAAAATAGTCACTAATATTGTTTATTTTAGAAAATAAAGAAAAAAATATGATACATGAATAATAAAGAAGTAACGCGTATAACACAGTGAAATAAAAAAATGTATAAAATAATTAAAAAAAGTAAAATTAAAATTTTTTTTAAAAATTATTAATATAAAACATATGGCAATATCGCTATGCTTTTATATGTACTATCAAACTCATACAACATAATTATTTTTATTTTGTACCTTTTTAACATGTTCTGTTAATAACAGAGTATATTTTTCTAATAATGTATATTCGTATATACTTTTCTTTCTCTATTTTTTACTTGGTAACTCATCTATGATATACAATTTATTTGAATAAATTTCTCAATAAACATCTTTAGGAGAGAAAATTATAAAACAGAATAAAAATCCGTATAAATTAAAAATAATTTATGTATAATTTTTTAAAATACTTTATATATAATTTAAAAATTAAGAATTTAGGAAAGTTATACAAGACATCTTCTATAAGCTAGTTTATAAACAAATTATTGTTAATTTTGGAAGAGGTTTATTTCAATTTTTTCTTATATTTCTTTTCTAGAATTGCTTATAATAAGTTTGAGAAAAAAATGCCCATAAAATAAAATGAACCAAATTTTATCCCATTTTTATTGTACAAATATATTAAACTCATGTTGATACAGGTATTCTATGAAGCTTTTATAAACAATTAAAAGGAAGTTCAGTTTGCGTATTTCATATGCCCCTAATTGATGAAAATTCATTCAAAATTCTATATTTTCCTTATGTTAGCACCAATCTAAGTTTTTGTTTTTTCAGAATAACTAATAAATACAATAAGCTTTATTATTTTAATAGAATAGTTGTAAGATTTTCTATTTTATTCGTTTATTCGAACATTAGAACAAATATGTATTGTATACTAGTTAAAGATTAGATGAAAAGTAAAAATATAATTAACAAAAAGTAATTACAGTACAGTTAAATAGAACAAAGAATTTCAAACTACATGTTAAGATTAGGGGGAAGAATTTTATAGCCTTGACGAATCAAAAGATACATTTGTGATTGCTAGAGATCCTCTCACATTCTAGGGCCATATACACCTATTTATACACGAGTTTAGTATATTGAGTTATCCATTGACAAGGCTCGAAGTTTCATCATAATGAAGTACAAAACTAAATCATGATAAAGACAACCAACAAAATTGATAGGAAAAGATGAAACATGCTTGCTGACAGGTGTCTCAAAACCCTCATTGCCTGATAACAAACACAAATTGAGCATAGATACAATGAACTGTGTAGTTGTACAGTTTGTCAATATTGAAAAAGAATAATAAATGTTATAATCTAACAATCTCCACCTTTTCAGTTCAGGCAGGCAAGTAATTGTATATTGGCATTATTGGCCAGGAATGTTAAACCCTTTTTTTGTCCAAAGTGTGGATACGTTTTGCCATTAGGAACTGAATAAATTTTATGAAACTTTAAGGCATATATGACTTGGCAACAACAATGAGGCATAAGTCTTTACACCAAAAAACAAACAGAACTGCAAATTTGGCGTCAAGCAGCAACTGATTTGCTTTAATTGGGAGCCAAAAACTACTGAACAGCTTAGGCTCAAATCAATGTGTTCAGGGACGGGTTTAAGGTTTGGCATTCTGACCTTTATCAATGAGGATCTGAGAGGTTTTGAATGAACTTAAAATAAAAAATCTGAACCTCAACTAACCTGCTCTCCAATCAAATCAAGACCAACAACCAGAAAACTTATCCCTTGAAACATTAGGAAGTAGAAGTGAATTCCTTGGGCAGATAGTAAGCTTCTAACTGAGGCAGCCAATAAAATAAATGCAAGATAAAGTTCTTTCCTGAAGAGACGATTTCTCTTTGTCTTCCCAGTTTTCTTTGACAATCCTAGTTTGCTTAGTTCCCCAAGGCCCGAATCTGAGCTTGATCTCTGGAGACTATTAGATCGCATTAAAGGTTCAGATTCTTTCTCGAAGGCAATCAAATCTGTCTCTGATGATCTTCCCAACTTTTTTGTAACCACCCACTCATAAGAACTACCAAAGCGAAATAATCCGGATATCATGGCATTAAACTTAGTTACCGACATAGTGTTCTCAAAAAGAAGGTAAGGAACTATAAATGGAAATGACCGTGGAGCTGGGAGAACACTTAGGAGGGACATAACTCCAGGAATGTAACAAACAACCCAGGCTGGGAGTTCAGCTTCGGGAAGGAACATGGTCAAAGGAAGAATGATGCAGAATAGGGTGAATGAGTAAAATGGCAGGATAAGCTTCCTCAGGAGGAAGAAAAGAAAGATCAAATTGACCTTCTTTGCCCAACTAACCTGGTACAAATGGAAATAACATCATTCAAGTCAAATTATTTAGTAAAATGGATGACAAAAATGAGTCAGTATTCCCTATGGTGCAAGCTGTGGCCAAATAACAGATTAAAAGTTTCATACAAAATGTAATAGCATTTTGTAATGTAAAGAAAAAAGTTCAATAAGCCTGTGCTCCATTATTGCACTACCCTAAATGCTTTAACAATGTTGCCTTAGGCATAACACGATGCTTAATTGTTTTACTGCATGGATCATTACTGTTCTTGAAAGATCAATTACCCTATAGTTGCCTTATCATTTTTAGTTTCCTGGATTTAAAAGAAGTCCAATTATCTGGAAAGATAATATGTACTGAATTCAATACCTTCGAACGAAGTATATCGAAAAAACACAAGCGAAACAATTGCATTGGACCAGAATGCCAGCGGTGTTGTTGTTTCTTATATGCCTCATAGGTCTCTGGAAGTTCACAAAGACACTACAAGAAGCAAAATAATCACATTAAACTCTTATAATTCATGATTGTCAACAAAAATTTGAAATTTAGTGTACCTTAACATCATTGAGGAATATAAACTTCCATCCACAGAGATGAGCACGAACAGCAATATCCATATCCTCAACAGTTGTTCTCTCCAACCAACCACCGCTTTCCTCAAGGGCCTTTATTCTCCACACACCAGCAGTTCCGTTGAAACCAAAGAAATTAATGAAGATGCCATTCACCTGTTGTTCCACCTCAAAGTGGAAAGACAAATTGATGTTCTGCAATCTTGTTAGCAAGTTCTCATCCTTGTTTACAAATGCCCATCTTGCCTGGACTAATGCCAGATCATCCTTTCCCTTTGGTAAGAGTATAACAAGGAAAAAAGTGGTTAGACAGACGCTTAATGCAGGACCCAAAAAGAATTTCCATTTAAAATGATTTAGTAATAAATAAGTATTGTCTACTTTTTGTTTATACCGCTGAGAACATTGTTCTAGTATTTACTTAATTTGTATGATATTAAATATTGTATTCATATCTAGAACTGATTTATTTGGTGTCAGTCTACTAGAAGTCATCCATTGCTTTACTGCTAACATTGATGTACTTGTGAATAATTTACTAAGAGAGACAGAAGCAACATTAAAACAAATGATGCCATCTCAAAGGAGCTGGACTAATCATTCAAACTAGATGCTCAACATATTGGGTATATCACAAAATAACATTATTATATTTAACTTGTCTAACTTCTTATAAGTATGTTAAAAGTTAGAAGAGAGGGAAGGGAAACTTAAGTAGGAGAGTCAGGATACTTGGTAGTTTAGTCATGGAAGGGAAGAGGTTTAAAATATTCTATCGTTTGTAAGTAGACCACTTGCTTTTCACAAAGGAGAAATTCTTAGTGGATAAGAGATCTTTGAGGAGTATTCTTTCTCCTATTATCTGTTCAACTACTAAAGTCTTTCTTAACTAAGTGAATTGGGCTTGGTCCATTAAGCCTAAAATGTAATATTTTACAAAATCACTGTGTTTCTCTATTGTGGCCTGGGCTTGGCCCATCAGGTCATGGAGTAAGATTGATTGGTGTAATTCCACCAGTTTAAGCAGTACAAGATTGACCAGCATATGTGAGTCAACTATGTAAAAAAAATTGAAATGGATAAAAATACAACCCTGATGATTTAAAACTTCAGTTTTGAATGAAAGGATGGTGGATGGCTGCGCATGTGTCAGATATCGTTTTCTCTGAAAGATTAATCTGATTTTAAATCAGAAATTATATCATTACAGGTACTATTATATATACTTATATGGTATGCTAGAGCCAATAGATCCAAAAGTGTATTAATCTTAACTGTTATAGGGAGAAAATCATGTATGGCATCTACAAATTAAAACTCAAAGCTAAAGCAACTTCAGATTCTACCACTTAAAGACTAACTTTAAGGATGTCTTTGATCCAAAACATGAAATCATTATAATCATTTTATTAAGTCTAAATAAAAAAAAATCTATAACTGTTATTTTTCATCTCTAATATATGCTGATATATTCACTCCAATCAACAGTATTTTTAACTTCAAAATTATAGACATAAAATTACCTTGAAATAAGGCACTGTTTTCTTTAAGAAATCTGGTGTTGGCTGAAAATCAGCATCAAATATTGCCACAAACTCATAATCCTTAACATAATCACAGCCCATTGCTGATTTAAGATTCCCTGCCTTGTAGCCTGTTCTAATAAGCCGGTGCCTGTATATTATCCTAACACCCCTTTGTTGCCATTTATGCACTTCTGCCTTGATAAGATGCTGGGTATCTACTTCATCAGAATCATCAAGAACCTGAACAAGCATTCTCTCCTTGGGCCAATCCAGGATACATACGGCTCCAATGGATTGCTGATAAACCTACAGTCAACAAGATAAAAATAAGTAATGATCACAAAATGCAGGAGAGTAGAGAAATACAAAATTAAGAGTCAGATTCTTAATAATCAATCAGCTCATAAAGAAGAATGCCACTAGTGGTTCTACATTCTTGGGGGTAGGGAAGGTGCTGATTGAAAGACATGGAAACTTTTAATGACATTGGTGATGAGAAGATGCACGTCCTCCTTTTAACTAAAGCAATACTCATTAACAACATTAAAAGAGAGACAATAATAGAAGAGGAAAATTAGTGAGGTGACATGATATGAAAAGAAAGGGAGGAAACTGTATTTGAAGACATAATAATTGAACAAGCAAACTTTTGTAGGACGAGAGTTGGAAAATATACACCAATTTAATATTTATTATCATTCTGGTATAAAGTGTTGGCCCACTTGCACACTTAATCTCTCTCTCTCTCTCTCTCTCTCAATATATATATATATATATATATATATATATATATTATGTATCTTAAGAGTGGAGTGGGTGTTGTTATTAATTAATCATATGAATGTTAAACAAATCTATTGTTTTTTCTTGTTTTGCTCTACGTAGCCAAGTGCTAGTTGCTTCTATCAGCTTACCACTGTAATTGCTTCCATAAGTGAAGCATTAGGAGAAGAATATTTTTCCCGTACAACAACCACACACACCTCTAACCCGGTCTATGTCTCACTCACAGTATCTCAGAAACATCCATTCTGTCATGGCTCTAAGCTCCAAGACACCCTCCATTTTGGCATCTGCAAGTTACAAAGCTCTAACTTTAATCAACTACACGTGCCCAAGCCATATACCCCTACAAGATTCATAGCACAAACCACTCATGCCATCAAAAACCCTTCTGCACATATGCATCTCATTAGTTGAATATCACCCAATCACAGAATTCAAAGAGTGATTTTGTAGGTCATGTGCTTACCCATATTAGTATCTTATTATAATTGATAAAAGTAAGCCTTGCTCAACTTCTACATTTATTCTCTGCCTAAAAATACACATCCTATACTCTGAGTATTGTTATTAACTTCAAATGTTTTATCCAAATGATTTTTTTTCATTTATCTTTTCTCGTTTTAGTATAAGCATCTATCAGTTTGCCTCTGTACTTGCTTCCACAAGTCCAGCATTAACGAATAAATGTAATATTATACTTGTTGATACATAGTTTAAGGATCTAGTAGTGGATGTAAATGATCAACAGTGTTTCAGGTATGCAGCATTTAATGATGGCACGTCTCTTGCCCTGAATACAAAAACAATTCTCCACCATTCCCATCTTTAAAATGGAGCATCAAACTCTACACCTAAGTCAATCTCACTAAAAATGTCTCAGCAAATATCCATTCTTTCATGTCTCCAAGATACACACCCTCAAATAGAGCCATCACTAAGCTACAAACGCTCTACCTTCAAACGCCTAAACGCAGCCTACACTAAATGTCCCCAAGCCTAACAAACCCTTAAAAAATCACCCAAACTACCTTGTCTAAGAAATCTCTCTAGGATAACTTATGAAAACAACTTAAAGACTCATATGAAAACAGTTTAACCCAAATTACTTGCAGAAGCAACTTATACATGAGTGTTTATTTGCTAACACTTATTCACTAGGCCCTTAATTAAGTAGTTCACCCAAAAGACTATCATAATACAAGCACACCCACAACAATAGAAACATGCCCATGACCAACATCTACATCAGTTGCGCACATCATTTATAGAAGACACCAGATAACAAACAGAACCGACATTAAAAGTCAACATTCAATTATTAGGTAGTTCCAAAAGGACAAAGCAACCTACATATTCTTACCTCCCTTTCATTGCACATGGGAATCTGAACCAACACCATTGGGAAATCCTCCACGCTATGACCCCCACTATCGTAATCCACACTGGCTACAGGCTTGAGCCTCCGAAACTTGATCCAGAAGCACCCCAAGATCAAAACGACCCTGTCCACCGACTGCACGATGAACAAAATGGTACACAAATTCGCCAGGCTCTGCAGTGGCGGCGACAAGTACCGGGCGCGGATGTCGAGCCACGCGGCGTAAGCGACGGCGAGCAAGCCCAGAAAGTCACTGGGATCGGGGCGGCTGAAATGCCACCCCTTGAAATAAGCGACGAGCTCGAACCCCAAGAGCACGATCACCACCACGAGGAACACTCGGATCGCGCGGTAGAGCCGCGACGAGTCGCTGCGCAGCGACGCGGAGTCGGCGATCCGGCGGTTCGCCGTGCGGAAGAGGTGGATGACCCCGCCGGAGAGCCAGCCGAGCGACGCGGCGAGCTGCTGGAATTTGAGAAGGCATACCCAAGAGAGTTGCCGGGCGCTCCGGGAGCGTTCTTTTTTGGCGGCGGTGGCGGAGGAGGAGGAGTCGATGTCGAGGGTGGTGTAGGACAGCGGAGCTGCGGAGTGGGAGTGGTCGAGCTTGGATTCGTGTAGGGGATCGACATGGTTGTTCTTCTCACGCTGCTTGTTCCACCATTCCTGGAACTCGTAGTTGGGAGTCCGAGACATGGAAAGAGAGAAGAACAATTTGAATTGAACGAATAAAATTATGGGTAAGAAGAAGAAAGATAAATGAGATCTTTCTTCTTTCTTCGTTTTTTTTTTTTTTTTTTGTTTGATCCAAGAGAGACCTATAATCAAGGAACCACCAAGTTTTATCTGTTTTCAGTTTCAGGGGCTTAGGATTCATCTTGCTTCTATATTTTTTATTTTAAGACCATTATATTGTAATAATAACTATTATTATTATTATTATTATTATTATTATTATTATTATTATAATAAAGTAGTAATATTTTTTTTATCGGAACTTAAAAATGATATTAATAAAATATAATCCTTTAACTGTTTGGTGATGATATACAAACTGTTACTAGTTATATTACTTAATGCTAATTTCAAAGCAACTTTTTATTAAAGATACTTATAATAATTAAATAAGATAAAATCATTACAAATTACAAATATTATTGTAATATTTAATAATTTTTTAATTGTCGTTTTTGGAATATTTCTTTGTCTCACTGTAAATATTTAAAAATAATTAATTACCTTTATTAATAATAATGATAATATCCGCAAAAAAATAAATGCATTAAGGATAATTTAGCTGGATACTATTATTATAACCTTAAAAGTATATTTATAACTTAATAATAATCACTCCGTGATTTTTACTTTTTGTATATTGAAATGGTCAATTAATTTTTTTAATGGAGTAGTGACGCGTTATAAAAATACTCTAGAAAAATAAAACAAAATCAAAATTTATCGAATTAGTATAATACATGAAAATTACGAAGAAAATTAAGTAGTAAATGTGTAACTATGTTATTACTATATCATAAAAGTTTGTCTAATAAATTTCACAATATATAAATTTTTTATAAAATATCAAATTGATCCCCCCACTTTATCAAACTAAAATAATTTGGCATATTATTAATATATTTATTCAATTATTACAAAACAGTATTACCATATTCATCAAAGTATGACGTTAATTTTTTTTTACATAAATGAGTAATTGGTATTATTATCATTTACAAACATATAATTTTTATAAATAATTTAATAATGTGTTAATAATTGATTAAATTTTTTTAATTTTAGAAAAAAATAAGACTCGATTCATAATATATAAAGACAGAAATTAAAAATAATTGTATAAAAAGGTAAAATAGATAAATTTTGCGTTTTATTATTGTTATAGATGGGGTCTCCACGCGGTTCTTATTGACGGTGTTGGCGGTGGCGGAGGATGGAGGCGCGTGACGTGGGGTGCGGAGGAGCGACTAGACAAGTCCAGCGAAGGTGGTGGTGAGATACTGGTTGGTGTAGTTTAGCAGACAAAGTGGGACGATTCATGTGACTTCAATTAAGGAATCACGTTGGTGTCGCTGTTTTAAGTTTGTTACTTGTGCTTTTCTTCATTTTATTATTTTGTATATTATTTGGTCTTTTGATTTATATTCTTTGATTATTGAGGTTGGATTGGAGTATGATTGGGGGTGAACTTGGATAGATTTATTTTTGTTTACATATGGGATCATTATTATTTTAACTAAATGTAAAGTAAAATATATTAGTTTGATTTATTTACTTGATGTATTGATTTTATTATTATGTATAATTAAATAATAGTATTAAGTCACTAATTATACTACTTAACGAAATGGTTAGTAATTTGAATTCTTAATATGTTATTTTATATATGGAATAAAATGTTCAATGATTTCTATGATGAATAATTTTATAAATATTTAAAAAAAAAACAAAAAAATTAGAATATATATATTATGATATTATTATTATTAATTTAAAATTTAATGTGCTTAAAAATGATGTTTAGAGGATATCATATATATTAATGATGATTGATTTTTTTTAATTAATTCATTTAAATATATATTATGATAATAGGATACCGTTAATATATCTAATTATTTAAATATACATAATATCTTATTTAAAAGGTAATTATTAATATTAAAATAGACATAATTTATTACCTACAATATTTTAATAAGATACTTATAAATAAAATTATTTTACTCTTTACTAAATATCGTATTCTTCTTTATATATATATTTTTATTACTTTTATTCTTTTTTTTAGGTTGACTTAAATTGGTAAGGATTTTTACAAATGAATTTTTAACTCTTTCCAAATTAACTTGTCTAAACTGATTAAGTGATATTGTCGAACTCGTAATTTTTTTTAAGAAATCAAAGACAAAGTCTTATTTCACTCCTAACTAATTTTCAATGCTCGATTAATAAATTATATTAAGATATATTTATGAGTATACATCATTTAGCAATCAAAATTAAAAATAATTTATATATTTTCTTCTCCCAAATTATTGAAATATGTTTTGAAAATAAAACGATGATAAACTAAAAATAAAAGATAGAACAATACATAAATAATATTAATAATGATATTTTCCTACTAAATTAAATAAGAATGACTCGTTCCACTAGAAAAAATTAGGGTTGTATATGTGGTAGCCCCTAAAAAGGAAGTTGCTACTCCTTCCAATCATGCGGATCATTTCACCGTATTAATATGGATAAAATGTAATCTTTTATTAATATATCCAATCATAACATAATAGTAAAAAGTAAACCATAATAAATCATATAAACCCTTAAATGCAATGAAATAGTAGATCTTTGTGATGGAAACAACCTAATTTAATAAAACACATCACTTCAATATTATAGCAAATATTTGTTGAATTAAATTAAATGACTTAACTATCTAATGGACTAATTCAGCTAGCAATATATATATATATATATATATATATATATATATATATATATATATATATATATATATATATTGAGTTTGAAAGAAAAAGATGGTTTTATTTCTTGTAATTTTTTTTTACGTAAAGTGTGTGATTAATTCCAAATCAAGAATAAGTGCAATAGATAGTCTAAAATATTGATATTTTAGGAATACCTCAAAATTCAAAATTTATAGAATTACTATTATCATCTTAAAAATTACTATTATCATAAACCATTGTAATGAGAAGTAAACTTATTTAGTATAATAATATATATTTGTTAATATCAATGCATGGTTAATTTTTTCTTTATTATTAAAAATATATTTGAATTTATAATGTTAAAATTATTTTTAGCTTTTACATTATCGTATATGATATCTTTCTTGTCGATTCATTTAAACTTTTCATGTCAATTTTCCAACTGTCTTAAACAAAGATAATATAAAGAATATACGTTGGTTTCATAATTGATGTTAACAAATATCTTCAAGCCTCATAAAAACTACTCTATATCTTGAAATTACATTCAAAATTAATCAATATAAAAAGTTTTATTTATTATGTCAATTAAGGTAGCAATTGTAAAAAAATGTAATATGTTTTAAAATAATCTATTTGTTTTTTATAATTTTCATTTATGAAAAATATAATAAATGTGACATTTATTATTATTATTATTATTATTATTATTATTATTTGTATAGGAATAGCAAGTAAAAAAAAATTACATATATGTAAAAGTAATTTACATCACTATATAATATATACAAAAGAAGAAGGAATTTTATTTTTGATTTCTTCTATTTTTTTTACAATTTTACAAGTATCTACATTGTCAGTGGAAACAAACTGATTAAGGGGTTTTGAAAAAAGGTAGGAGGCATACAAAAGATAACCACTATCTGGCCCATCTAACATAATGAGATTTCTCATATCAGATACAAATGTTATTATTGAAAATCTTGTCCCTTAAAAAGTAACTGAGTTGTCTATAATATTCGTGTTCCAAGTAGTTCCTGGAAAAAAGGCATTGATGTTTGCAGAAAAGAGATTTGGAATATTTGACGCCTCCATCTACTTAAGCTGGTGTTTAAATAAAACATGCACAAAAGATCACAATAGGGAGTAAGAACATTTATCATTTACAATAATACAATCTTATAATATATAAATATATATGTTTCATCTTCCTCAACTCATTCTATTTTATGAAGATTTAAATTAAATTTGTAGTGACTAGTCAGGATAAATGAGCCTAATTTTAATCACTCTCACAGTGATATTTTACTCATTTAAATCCCCAAGGTCCAACCTCCATCTACAATATCATCAAATCTTCACAAATAGATATTATTATAATTAAATAATATAACTATATGTTAATAAATAGGATCGCTGCATTACTAGAGATAAAATAAAGTAAACAAACATGACTAGTACATAACTGGATATAATTAAAATAGGATCAGTGCAAGGCTGGAGATAAAATAAAATAAACAAAAAAGACCAGTACATAACTGGAGATAATTAAAATATGACAAGTGCAAGACTAGAAATAAAATAAAATAAACAAAAAGGACCAGTACATAACTGGAGATAATTAAAATATGACCATTACGTAGTTAGAGATAAATAAACAAATAACTAAATAAATAGAATGAGGTTAGAGACACCTCACTCCACAACTATAAGCAAAATAAAATAGATTTAATGATAATATTTTTCTCCCCTACCTTAAGAACTGCGGATGAGGTACCAAAATTTTGCAGAGACAATTTTTTTTCTCTCTTTCTCTTCCTCTCTCTCTTTCTTCTTCTCTGTCTCCCTTTCTCTTTCTTTTTCTATTTCTCTCTCCTTCTTTCTCTCTCTCCCTCTTTCTCTCTCCTTCTTTCTTTCTCTCCTTCTTTCTCTCTCTCCCTTTCTCTTTCTCCCTACTGATCCTTCCCCCCTTTCCTCTTTATAACAATTTTTTTTCTTTTTATTTATTTAATTACATAATCATAAATGCAGTAATTATGATGTTGATAAGGTTTATCTTTTAAGATAAGATAATGTTTATCTTTTACATTAATTGAAATGTTACATTTCTCCCATACTTGCATAAATTTCGTCCTCGAAATTTTTTAGCGACTAAAATAGATGAGGGTAACTTTCTTTGATTTTCTTTTCTAATTCCCACGTAGAACTCCAGTAATTTCATTCCAA